TCTCAATTATGAGATTTCATTTTGGGAGTTGGATGTCAGGATATCTACATACAACAACCAAAAGGGTTTATAGCAAATGAGTAGGAACACACGGTATGCAAGTTGTGAAAGTCTATTTCATAGACTTAAGCAAGCATCCAGGTCTTGAAACATCAGTTTTCATGTTATAAGTGTTGTTAATCTTGGAGTTCAAGTTCGGGCTTTTAGTGGAGTAGCACCGAATTAGATAATCATTCTTTGATTATCAGGAGCCTTGATTAATAACAGATGGTAGATCCTCAAGCTAGCTTGAGACAAGGGATGGGGTATTTTTCGGATAGATGATGACTTATGGGTTACATGATCTTGGGTTTTACGACTCAAGTTTGTATCCAAAAGAGCAAGTGGGAGATTGTTGAGTTTGCTCTTTTACTAAAGCCCAAATGGGTTATTAGTATGAGAAGAGCCCAGGGAACCTAGAGCCCAATGAGCTAGGGTTTCTTGGAACCCATATAAATAGTACCTCTTAAGTCATCAGCCTCCTAGGTCTTTTTTGTGAGAAAGAGGCAAGCTCAGAATCTAATCAGTGCCCACACACTTCCCCTTCCTCCTCGAGAGATAGTTTGGAAGATCTGCCACAGTCCAGCTTCAAGGAGGTTGTTCGTGCTGCGGCGCTGAGGTGAGCTGTTCGTGAAAAGGAATCCTACAAGGGAAGATTCTACACGAGACCTGCGCACCGAGAGGTAATTGTGAAACAAGGATGATTCGGTTAGCATACCAATGTACTAGGTCCTAAACCGCTTCCGCATAAATCTAAGATTTCCTACAGTTACAAGTGGTATCAGAGCAGGGCCTCTCTTCCAGTACGGTGTGGTTCGAGGACGAACCAGGCAGAAGCTGGTGGGCATGTAACATCCCAAGAGCTGGCAAAGGCAGGGAGTCATCGCTTGTGCGAAAGGGCACGGACAACGAGCAGCTCATGCCAAATCTTGCAGCTTGGGGGTTCATGAATGAATCGAATCAACACTCGAAAGAGAGGGATTCCAGCGACTGTGCTGGTATGGGACGGTACAATTGGGAATGACTTATAAGAATTAATTGGTACTACCTATACTAACAAGATGCATCTACTTTTCGGTAGCCCGGATCGGAAGAACTCCACAGTTAAGTGTGCTTGACTTGGAGCAATTCAGAGATAGGTGACCTCCTGGGAAGTTTTCCCGGGAAGTGTGCGAGTGAGGACAAAGCACGCTGAAAAGTCTCGTGTTAGTGTGTGGGGACAGTCGTTCCTTGCAAGTTGCCAGGCGTTACAAGCTTTGTCCTCACTCGCACACTTCCTGGGAAAACTTCCCAGGAGGTCACCCATCCCTGAATTGCTCCAAGTCAAGCACGCTTAACTGTGGAGTTCTTCCAATCCGGGCTACCGAAAAGTATATGCATCTTGTTAGTATAGGTAGTACCAATTAATTCTTATAAGTCATTCCCAACTGTACCGTCCCATACCAGCACAATCTCTGGAATCCCTCTCTTTCGGGTGTTGATTCGATTCATTCATGTACCCCCGTCCCTAGAAGCCTGCCAGGAGCCGCTCCTTGTCCGTGCCCTTGCGCACCGGCGATCACTTCCCGCCCTCGTCAGCGCCCGGGATGTTACATGGGGCCTATCTTCCAGTACGGTGTGGTTCGAGGACGAACCAGACGGAAGCTGGTGGGCATGTAACATCCCAAGAGCTGGCAAGGGCAGGGAGTGATCGCCGGTGCGAAAGAGCACGGACAATGAGCGGCTCATGCCAAATCTTGCAGCTTGGGGGTTCATGAATGAATTGAATCAACACTCGAAAGAGAGGGATTTCAAATACTGTGCTGGTATGGGACGGTACAGTTAGGAATGACTTATAAGAATTAATTGGTACTACCTATACTAACAAGATGCATCAACTTTTCGGTAGCCCGGAACGGAAGAACTCCACAATTAAGCGTGCTTGACTTGGAGCAATTCTGGGATGAGTGACCTCCGGGAAGTGTGCGAGTGAAGACAAAGACCACTGAAAAGTCTCGTGTTAGTGTGTGGGGACAGTCATATATTCTTGCAAGTGGCCGGGTGTTACATTTTACATCAAACAATGTCAATTTCAAAAAAGATTGAAACTTTCATAATATGAACCTTATATTTCGTAACAGTACTTTTATGAACGAAATTACTTCACTATAGGAAACGGTTTCAAACAATTTTTGTGTCAATAGATAACTAAAAACTTGTTTTTCAAAAGCTCCAAAACAATTTAAGGTTTCAATATATTGATTGAAAAAAAATTGAGAAAATTTCTAAACTTTAATGTAATAAAACCTAAAAATTCAGATTCGAAATTTTCTTAGAATATTCAATGAAAATATGCATATGATATATGATTAGAAAACTCTAACCATGTAGAACAAAAACCCCAAGATTTTCAAGATCAATTGCAAAAAATTTCAAACGAAATTTTATTACGAACTTTAGTATCTATATGCAAATTTAGAATTATTTTAATAATTAAAAAAAAGTGGGTCTTATAATCATATATCATAGCTTTGATACCAAACGAAGAAAATAATTTTTAAACCCTTGGTCAAACCCAAGAGTAGGAACGAGAAAATGCTAATGCATGGAGGACTAATATAATTTTAGATATGTGAAAAGCTGTTGCTTATAATTTTGAATGTTTGTTAAAAATTATATTAGGTTTTATTTTTTTTTTATTAATTTCATTGCATTTCTTTGTTATTTTTTTATTGACTCTTGTAATTTTAAATGTTGTTAAAATTTCATATGATTTTTTAAAATCTAATAAATTCATATTGTCCGTTCAAATCTTATAAATTCTACCAAAATCATTTAAAATTCAATCTTATTAAATCTTGATTGTAAAAAAAATCTTTTGAAAAAGTCTTTAAAGTCCCTCCAATTCTAAATTATCTTTTAAAATTTATAAGATTTTGCATATAAAAAAAGTCTATTAAAATCCTAATCCAATACACCTCCTAAGTTTAAAAATTAATTCAAATAATTTGAAATGATATTATAGTTTATCAAAATAATATTTTATTTTATAAATGTTTATATATGCTATCCTTATTTAAGAACTTTCCGTTGCACCTCACAAGAAATATCTATTTGATTGTGTTTTTTTTTTCCCTTAAAACTGTTTTATAGATAGTTATGGAAATATATTTTTTTGTTTTTTTGAAAGTTAAAAGTCTAAACACAAAACAAAAACAACCAAAACATAGGGTCTGTTTGATTTGTGTTTTACAAAACAGTTTTTTAATTTTAAAAACAAAAAAACACGTTTGATACTCGATGTTTTGTGAAAAAGTTTTAAAAACAAGTTCTGATTTTTGGTTTTAAAAATAGAATTTGGAGAACACCCTTGAGGTGTTTTTGTTCTGGGTTTCTACTATTTGTTCTCATAGGATAAAAAACACGGACATGAGACAACTCTCATTAACGGCAACACCGTAAATAACTATATATTAAAAATACTTCACTCTTTAGATTTTTTCTTCCCCCTGCATCTCATAGTCTCTCTCACCTAGATCTCAGATCTCAGTCTCAGCTTCACTATATTCAATTTATCAATCTTTCTTATTTCCCATGCCTTAGCTCGGTATGTTTCGCCATGCCTCTTATTTCCCATTCCACTTCAATTTGTCAATTTTTCTTTGCATTCTTTCAAGTCTCTTGCATTTTCTGCATTTTGCTGAACCCACGTTCTAGATCTACCATTTGTTTGGTTCTTCGATCATAGATATGTATTTTCATTTTTACTGTGTTTAGTGGTGTAAATGGAAGAGAAACACTCTCTGCTAAATAATTTGACTTATTTGTTTAGTTGGCTAAGGCTCAAGGCTAAGGAGGAAAACATCTTCCTTTGGCCATTTAAGCTCAAGGCTCCTTTGGGTGGCTTAAAGAAGAAGAGAAATCACTATGTCGAAGAAGGTGGTGTTGGAAACCGTGAGAATTACATCAACGAGCATATCCGGAGAATGAATTAAGCTGTGGTAGTGGTTAATCACTAATTAGGGGAATCAATATTTGTTTTTATGTTAAAAATATATCTAAACTTTTACATATAATTAAAGAAATTATTAAAGTAATTTAAAAAAATTACCAATCAAATTAGTTTTTTATTTTATTTTTTTAAAAAAACATGTTCTCAGAACAAATTTATCAAGCAGATTTTTTTGTTTTTTAACTTTTAAAATTCTTTTCAAAACACCTTTACCAAACAAATTTTTTTTTCTTTTATTCTGAAAATTAATTCTCAAAAACTATTTTACAAAACAGTTTTTAGAACAAAAAAACAAAAACACAATCAAACAGACCCATATTCTTAGATTTGATTTTTTTTTTGGTAATAAACTAAATTTGATTTTTAAAACAAAAAAAATTTACAGTTTTATAACTTTTTTTACAAAGCAGGCCTTATCAAACATATTTTATTTGTATTTTCATTTTGAAAATTAAAAAATTAATTTTAAAAGTAATATTCAAACAGGTCCTTAATTCTTTTTTTATTTTATTTATTTGGACATACATTATAGTAGTGACAATTAATTTGAAAGTATACATTATAGCAGGGACATACAAGAGTTAATTTGGATTTATGTTTTTATTTATTTATTTGAACTTGTAATGAGTATTTTGATGAATAAGTTTAGATTTGTGTCTGATTTAATTTTTAAAGCACTTATCTTCCTTGTGATATTTTTAATTCAAATCCACTTTTAACTCTTAAATATTGGGTTAATCTATTCATTTTGATTTTGTGAATAACAAAAAAAATTATCACAGAAAATGTAAGTAATGAAAAAATAAAAAATAAATTTTTTTGATGAGGTGAGAATGCGATAGGGCATGATATCCATAGATCTGATATGATATGATGAGGGTGGTACTGTGACCTCTCACACACACATATATAAACATACACATATATAAATAAGAAAATAGGTAAGACGAGGTTAGAGTTAGAGCACTAAACGAGACCCACTTTAGTTGTTTCCTTGTTCTGTTGTGTATCTATCTATCTATCTCGGAACCCTAAGGGCAACTCAACCCTTTTCTTTTCTTTATTTCTTTGTGGATCTGTGGCCGCGGTTAGAGTTGCGATGGATCGCAAGAGAGGAAGGCTTGAAGATAACTTCAATGGTAATGGCGGCGCTAAGAAATTCAGGACAGGTTTGCTTTCTCTTTCCTTACTCCCTCTTTTTTCCTCTGAATCTTTCAACTTAGCAAAAAAAAAAAGAAGATTCCAAAATTATCCTTAGGTCACTGCTTAATTACAAGAAAGAAAAGAGCGAGCCAGCGAGCAAGCTCTTATAAGCTTGCTGATATGTTACAATCTTCTTTTAGTTTTACTGCATGGGATGCTTGCCTGGTTTATGCTTTGTTACAATCTCATAAACATTGAGCTCTGTTTTTGTAATGTGTATTGGATGTTAAATAATTGTGTACCTTGCTCTGAAGATACTGAGAATTCCTAAATCTAAATGAGCTAATAAATAGTGGCAACAAATGGTTATTGGATGTTATTTAAATTGAAGCATAAAAAGGTCAGTGAAATTTTAACTGAGGGGACTTAATTAATGTTGTGCAACAGAAACGGACTCCTTTGGAACTGGTTTAGGAAGCAAATCGAAGCCATGCACAAAGTTTTTCAGGTTCAAATCTTTAACTTGTCTAAAATAAAATCTAATGCAATTTTTATATATGTATAAATTTTCTAATGTTTTAGAAAAATTTCCATACACAATTCTAGCATAATCCATATGGTTTGACTAATGAATTGGGTAGTTAAAGTTGTGATACAGGTTCTACTTCTAATCACGATAACAAGACTATGAACAGAAATTGTTGATTCTCGAGATCAGTTCTGTTAAGTGCTTGCTGGGCTATATATAAATGAAAGCAGTTCTTTGGGCTGCAAAACTTGATCACATATAATGGTTGTATACAATTTTTGCAAGTAAAGGGGTCTGATGCAGATCACTGAAATGGCTAGAGAAATACATGGCTTAAGACATGTTCTATCTATGGAACAAATCATAAGTGGATTGATGCTTGGAACCATTCATAACGAACTTCATTCTGGGTTATGTTTGGAAATCTTTGAATTATCTGGCCTTCAAAATCTCTCCATGATATAATGATTCAACGTCAAATCACTTTTATCCCAAACCTCATTATATAATTATTAATGATGATAATTTTGATGTGCTTGTTGATTATATTTCTTATGTGCTGTTGATATGTCTGTTATTTATATTGCGAGTCTTTTTTATCCCTTCTATTATCTTGAGGATTGCCATTTGCTGCAGTTAATTTGAGGATTAACTCGTGTTTGGAGAGTAATACCAAATTTTAACAAGAAGTCACAATTTGCACTATTACTCCAACACCAAAGAAAACTACAAGTAAAATTCAAAACATTATAGTTTGTATCATAAAAAGACTTTAGAGCTTTAAAAAAAGCTTAGTGGAAGTAACTATTTGTATGAAAAATTTGAAAACTTTGCCTTGAAGGTACTAAAATTCTCTACCCTGTTCAGACATGATGATTCTGCTGAAGCCTGATGATCCCAACTGCTTATAGTCCTATAAATAATGAGTATACTGATTATTCCATGGATGACTCATTATCTCTGAATCTCTCCACACCAGTGGATACTCTAGCTACTTGGATCTAGAAATAGAATGCAAAGTGCGGAAAAATTTCTTCAAAGAATTTGATCCGCTCACCACATAATTCATCTTGTTAATGTAATGTCTTTTTTTTTCAACCAGAAAACTTGTGAAAATCTTTAATCATTCATATCATTCAGGTTAGTCTTTCTAAATTCCAAGTTATCTTTTAAATTGGTGAAGACTGGTCCACCTATTATACTCCAATACATATCTAAATCATTACCCTCTTATATAATTTTCTTTTCTTCTCCGATTATCCCAAACTGTTATGCTAATAGGTTTTCAAATATAACTACCTGATGGATTGCACCTTTAGATTTTTCACGGCATAGCTTCAGCATCTTTTCCAGGCTGGTCTTGGCTTCATCACCTATTTATACCAAATCCTATTTAATCAAAATTCTTCCTAAAATTCAGAACAATCATTCCTAGTTTGCTTAGTTTTAAGGTCTATTCCTAATTCAGAACCGTCATTCCTTCTTGGATCCAGTTACATTCTTTATCCGTTGATGTCTCTCATTTGCTAGGGAATTCAGAACAATCATTCCTAGTTTCCTTAGTTTTCCAGTTTTAATAACATATTTGTTGTCATTTTATACTAATGTAATTCTTTGTTTTTTATATTTAAAGGTCTCTTCAATTTACCAATTATAGCTGTGTAATGTGTCTTAAATTAGGATAATGGACTGATGTTACAATGGATTCTTGTAAGTTACGATAATGCCATCTTTTTTAAATTTTGATTAACTACTACATGTCTTATTTTATTTTTTTATGATTTTACATGAAGACTTTCTCAGTTTATTTATTTCTTAGCTTATGATACATTGAAAATCTTTTGTGCTATAGATGAGACTCCTTAAGTTAAAGATTTTTTGCGTTATCCTTGACCTAAAATCCTCCCATGCTCGAATGTCATCTATCGGAAACCAAAGTTCCTTTAAATCCATTTAGAGCAAGGTCTTTTTCATGGTTTTTTCAAACGTTTTCTAAAGTTGTCCTTTTTAATCATGCTACCTTCCACTTGATCCATATTCTCATCAGAGTCTCTATTGGTCTTCTTCTCACATGAAAAAAATTACCTTGTGAGTTCCCATCACCTTCTCATCAATCGATGCTAATCCAATCCAACTTTCTCTCGGTACATTATTCCTAATCTTATCATTTCTTGTATGCCTACTCATCCGCCTCTGCACTTGCAGCTTTGCCAACATTCATTACCTTAGAGCATTGCTGGTCTTAATAGCTGCAGTATATGTCATCTTTGTAAGAATGATGACAAAAATATGTAGAATGCAATTGTGGCAAAACTGACATATTTTAAGAGTTTTTTGTTTTATTTAAAAGGTTTTCTTATTCAATTCTAGTTAAAATGATTAAGATTGGTTTCCACTTTCCAGGATCTTTCTTTCTATTTTTTTGTTATTCTGGGCTCAATTTTTATCTATGGTTACATGTTAAAGGCTGTCTTTTTGTGTAACTGCTTATTTCTAATTGAAAACTTGTTGCAGATAGATTTTATCATTTTATGTTTAAAATTAGTGATTGTTGGGCCTTCTTGATTGACACTAAGTAACTACTGAGTATAATATGGAGTTTGACATTCTTCTCCTGCTTAGCGCTGAGCAACCCTTGCTATGTTTGATCATTTGCAATATTTTTAACCCTTCTATTCTAGGAAGTGGTCTCTAATGGATGGGCTCCTAATATATGTTTTTAGTCTCACCATTTAAATACTTCTTGTGGAATACTTATAAAAACATTATATAAAAGGTGCAACCTTGATGTAGAATTTTTTTTTCTTTTTTGGCCAAGTTTAATTTCATACTTGAAAAATTATATAAACATTTGCTGAGGTCCATCCCTGTCTATAAAATTTTTGTAACCTTTAATTGTTGGGTTATATGTTAGTCTGATGTCATCTGCTTTCATCTATTATGCAGCACCTCTGGCTGTCCATTTGGTGAGGGATGCCATTTCCTGCATTATGTTCCTGGTGGCTTCAAAACTGCCTCTCACATGACCAATGTTGGTAGCAATCCTGCTATTCCACAAGTTGGTAGAAATCCAACTGTTCCACCATCGTTCCCTGATGGATCTTCTCCTCCAGTCGTTAAAACCCGATTGTGCAACAAGTTTAATACAGTTGAAGGTTGCAAATTTGGTGACAAATGTCACTTTGCTCATGGTGAGTGGGAGCTTGGCAGGCCTACAGCACCACCATATGAAAATAGTCGTGCCTTGGGACAAATGCAAAGCAGCAGGGTTGCTGGGCGAGTTGAGCCCCCACCCGCTCATGGAGCTGCTGCCGGCTTTGGAGCCTCAGCCACTGCAAAGATTAGTATCAATGCTTCCCTAGCTGGAGCTGTCATTGGAAAAAATGGTGTCAACTCTAAGCAAATCTGTCGCGTAACAGGAGCTAGACTTTCCATTAGGGAACATGACTCAGATCCTAACCTTAGAAACATTGAGCTTGAAGGCAGTTTTGATCAGATCAAACAAGCCAGTGCCATGGTTCATGAACTTATTCTAAATGTTAGTTCTGTCTCTGGGCCTCCAATGAAAAACATTGCTACCCAGGGTTCTACCCCTGCAAGCAACTTCAAGACCAAGCTATGCGAAAACTTTACTAAAGGTTCCTGCACTTTTGGAGATAGGTGCCACTTCGCACATGGAACAGATGAATTACGCAAGCCTGGAATGTGATACGATACACTTATAATTTAGTTTTACGTGAATTTTCTAGTTTTTGAAATTTTTGTCAGTCAGCTTTTCTAACTTGCCGCATGGTAACTAATTTCAGCTTCTAAAATTCAATTGCCTTCTGCTATCACCATTTTTTTTTTTAATATTTCATGTGTCAATTGGCGGCCAATATGGGGTTTCAGTTCTGATTTGCATATTTTGTTATATGTTTTGGGATAAAGCTTACCGTACAAATTAACATGGTCATCCTTTTCTCCCTTTTAAAAGTTTCGTTAGGTTGCTGCTTTATACTTGAGCGCTGCAGGGAAAACATTAGCCTAAATCTGGTCGATTTATTAAGGGTTTTTTTTCTTGTTTAAATATAGCTCTCACTTTAAATGTTTAGATTGCTCAAATAATGTCACTAAGATGTTAATTTTTTTTAATTTTATTTTTATCTCTTAATTACAAATTACAAAGGCTCATTAATATAAATTCGTATATATATAAAATATATATATAATATATATATATATATATATATATAGGATATATATATATATATATATATATATATATATATATATATATAGGGAAGGATCTTTTGACACTTGTATCAAATTTTGAAATTTAATATTAAATTTTAATCATTGATTTTCACTGATCAATGACTATCAACTATTGAGAATCAAACTTTTTGTCTCTTACTATTTTAGCTTTCCATATATATATATATATATATATATATGAAAATGTTTAAAATCATAAAAAGTATGTATAACTAATTTAAAAAACAATTTTAAATTTAAAAGGAAAAAAAAAAATGAATGACATGCATTATTTTTTAAGATTGTTACCACCATGTCTTTTTCTTTAGGCTAACCATTCTTATTATCTGATTAGTTATTATTGGATCAATTCACAATTAACGACAATTATTTATGTTTCTTTTTCAACCATTGATTTTGAATTGATCTAATGATAACTAATCAGGTAATAAGGGTGGTAAGCCTAAAAAGATAATAAATATAATCTTGTCCAAAAAGAATAAGATATAGTGTAGTCTATTTAAAAGTAGATAATTCAATAATATGATATAAGTGGATTTTTTTTCCTTCTTTAACTAATTAATTTAGATATTTTAATCATATGTTTTTTTTACCTAAAAACATAATGTTACAAACTAATACAAATGACTATGTGTGCATAGGGGTGGTAAAATTGGTGTGCCCGGTCGGATCAATTCGTTTATTCCATCTATTTTGACGAGTTAGGTTGAAAATTTTAATCCATCAATCTGTTCCAACTCACTTATTAATACGGGTTAAGGTGGTTCAACTTGAATTTAAGTTTTTTTTAGTATTAAGTAATATTTTATTTGTTAAGTTGTTGCTATATAAAATTTTTATGTTAGTATTTCTCTATGGAAGATAACTTGATTTATGATAAAGGTTATCCAATATTCATATATGAAAGCAAGAATAAGTTTCTAAAGATTATCTGGCTAATAATTATCATATATTTAAATTTGAGATTAAAAAAAATAAAAAAGAGAGTATGAAATAGAATTAAATAATACTATAAACCTTATTTTTTTAGAAATATTTCAATCGTCCATCGCTTCACAACTAGTCTGATTCGGGACGGATTAAGAATTAAGACTTTAAACCCTTCCAAATGTGGTACTGAGGAGGATCAAACATATATTCTACCTCTACATGCTCAACTATAAAACTTATTGAATAATATTTATTGTTATTTATTTTTAAATGAATTGACCGGCTAACTCTCCATAAAATAAGATAAATTGATACTTTCAATCCACGTAAAAAAAATAAAAAAAAATCCAACTTGTTCCGTCTAATTTTTTATAAATTGACAGCGGCCGACCCGCTTTGGTAACTTAGAGAGCTTCATGCATACGCACGTCGTGTTCTCTAGCAAATGCAAATTCTTGTATCGAATATCAAAGATGCAAGCGTTGCATCGTTCATTTAATTTTAATATTTGGTGGGCTTCCACGAGCCTGTCATGCATTTGGCCCACCTATGGCTATCCCATCCGATCCAATGGTTGATACTTGATGCTGCATTATACATGTAAATATGTAACTTGTTGTATTAATTTGGGATGTTGCATATGATGTGAGAACACGTAATTATGATAGCTTGCTTCCTGAGTAGTGGAGGCAGACAATTAATAAATGTTCATGTTCATTTTCATGTATTTGACTCTTAAAGTGAATTATTAGCTTTCATTACACAGCATCACAGCCAATAGAAGATGATGATGCAATATTGCATTAACTGGCGTTGTCTAGGTTCGTTTTTTTTTTTTTTTTTTGGTAAATATCTTGGTTCGCTTTTGAAATATTCGGTGGTATATCAAAAAAATAAAACAAAAGTAAATATTCGGTTGGAACTTGAAACAGATATCATCGCTGTACTAATGCATTCCAATTAGAGGAAAGTATTTTCGGTATTTTTACTTTTTTTTTTTTTTTTTTTACAACCTCTTACAACTATATCTTAACACCGTTGATTTCCGCCGATCAACAGTTATCATTTATTGTAAATTAATAATTAATTAATGAGTTTAATTTGGAAAAATCATAACCGTTGATTGACGAAAATCAACGGTGTTAAGATATGGTCGTAAAGATTGTAAAAAAAAATTATAATAATAACCTTTCTCTTTTTATAATATTGAAGACTCAGTATATCTTTTTTTTATTTAATTTGGGAAAAAAATAATATAATTATTTTTTAGGAAAAATGTTTGTCATTTTAAGAGAGAGATAGACACAAAATAATTTTTTTATTTAAAATTTAAATTAAAAAAAAACCACCCACTTTCTCTCTCCCATTATTTCTATTTTTTGTGTTTATCTCTCTCCTAAAATGATCTAACTTATGTCATTTAAAATGACAAACACCAAACACTTATTTTTTCTCATTTTATCCACATTTTAATGATTATTGTCACCTACGTCTTTTTTTTTTAATAAAAAAATACATATTCCTGTAATACTAAAGATATACTTCATTTAGATACATTCAGGTACAAGCGCAAACAAACCTAATTAGGGGTGTTCTTTAACAAAAAAACTGAAAATAATAATTAAATATTTAAAAATATTAGAAATTAATGTTCTTTAATAAAATTAGGTCAAGTTTTGATTTTGATTTTGAAAACTGATCTATAGCTTTATTTATAAATTCATTATATTATCTATAAAACCATCATACTATTATTTATCAAAAGTAAATTTAAATGAAGATAGATTTTTTCCTTCTAAACATTAGAGTAAAAAGTACAGTGGAATAAATATAAAAATAAATGTAACTTGTTAGGTTATAGATTTTCACTAGTATGAGTTGAAACATGAATAAAATTGTGCCATTATGTATCTTTTTCAGCAGTCTGAATTTAAAATAAGTTTTATGAATAGTATAAATTATGGGATGATATATTTGATATTTTAAACTATTTTTTATTAGAGTAAATACCTTTTTTGGTCTTCAGGAAATTTCACGATACCCGCTTTAGTACCTAGCAAATAAAAAGGTCCATTGTGGTCTCTAAAAAATTTAAAATAAACCCATTTATTTAGAATCGTGGTCCTTCACAAATTCAAAAAAGACCTATATTAGTCCTCAAAAGGACTAAAATGGATTCATTTTGAATTTTTTCGGGACCACGATGGACCCTTTTATTTGCTAGGAATCAAAACGGGCACCGTAAAATTTGCTGATGACCAAAAAATATATTTACTCTAAAATATGTTTATTTTATATTGTAGTCACATGTTAGAGTGCTATTTTAGTTTATGTTCAAAACTCTGGTGTAATGGTGGGGGATTTCTTGCAAAAATAGTTTTAAAATATAAAACTATAATTTATAAGAGATTGTATACCCTTTCACATGATTGTTCTATTGACAATTTAATGGAATAAAGCAGAGAGTCGGAATGGAACATGTAAGGAGAGACGTGAAACATTGCTTGACAACTTGAATATTGGCCACTCAAAATATATGGATAGTTGGTGAAGCTACAGTTGGCACCATTTGTGATTATTTTGAGTTTAGTGTTTTTTGGATCAATATTTTATCAGTTCTGGTAGGTGGGCCTGTCAATTGGCCCACCGATTCTTTTATAATTATTTAATTTAATTTTTAAAAAATTAAATCAATAAAAAGAAATTTAAACGATTTAATTTTAGACCAATCACAGAGAAAGTAGAATTTATTCCATTTGTATGTTGGGTTTCAATTTTCTAAATTAAATAAAAAATGATGATATTCCCTACAGCAACATATAGGATAAAAAAAATGGACTGGAGTTACTAGTTACTCCTTACTAGTTAGAGCCTACGAGCAAATCTGACCAAATTAAAAAGTATATTAAATAAATTTTATTATTTGAATAAATTTACGAGGGTTAGGCTGACTGGTATTAATCCTCATTTTGAGTTGTTGCCATTGGACCATACAAGAGCACATTAGGCTGTTGGGTCGTTATATGTAAGCATGTACTTTCTAAGTTATCTTTGTGAAATGATGTCCATTTGGGCATTAAACACACTTGGAACATGTCCCACAACACAAGTGTAGTTGTCAAAATCTATAGCTTGAAGATAGCGAAGCTAATTAGACTAAGAGGGTGATTGAGTCATGCAAGCTGTTACCACGCATCAATAATTTGGACGGGAGGCATAAGGAGGAAAATAAAAAAGTTTATGATATTAACCCCTTAAATTTTGTATGTCCTTGTATACATGTAAAATAGAAAAAAATAAAATAAAGAGTAAACACCCTTTTTAGTCCTTGTCAATATCTACGAAGTCCTTTTTAGTCTCTGGCAATAAAAAAGAACCAAATTGGTCCCTGAAATTACAAAAAAAGGGCCATGTTAGTCCTTATGTCAACTCCCAAATAAGTAGAGTGGCTCTTTTCTTGTACTTTCAAGGACCAATTTGGTCCTTTTTTATTGCCAGGGACTGAAAAGGACTTCGTAGATATTGTCAGGACTGAAAATGGTATTTACTCTAAAATAAAATACCCAGCTTCATTTACTTATCATACATCGATTAACAGATGCTACTCATAAATGATATAATTATTAACCACAAAGTGTATACGATA